GTGGGGATTAAGCCTCCGTCCACTTTGAGGTTGGAGCCGTAGTGTATAGCCCTTTTGTAGTGTTAGCATTTTTGGATCACACTGAAGATAGATAGAGAAACAATACCTTTGTGACTGCGGCTTGAAATGTGAAGTCGGATATTGGTTCGTTTGAATTATTTGAGAATGCAATTGATAAAGTGATGACATCAGGCGTACTAGGTTCGCGGGTAGCATTTAAGGATATTTTGACGTTAGTATTACTAATGGTTAAATCGTTGGTAGATGGAAGACCTTCGGGTAGGGCAGACGAAAATGCCCATTCATCATCATCCGCTGCAGGTGCTGGGGCATTCGCTGCATGTGATACTGGAGGTTTGGGATTTGCAAAATCGAAAATGGAGCCAGATTGCTGAGGGGTGGATTGTCTTGATGGGGATGTAAGAGCAGCGAATGGATCAATATTTGACGGAGGAGGTCTTGCGGCTGCAGCTTGTTGCTGCTGTTGTTGCTGTTGGAAGAGGGATGGTTGTGGAGTAACGGGTTTGGAAGGTGGCTGTGATCCAAATGCAGAGAATGCAGAATAATCGGGTTTCACGGGTAAATTTGAAGGTGCCGGAGATCTGGTTGGCGTTGGTCCTCTGGCAGTACTGTTTTCAGTCGTTGAAGACATTAAAGCGGGACCAGGAATATCTAGAGCTTGTTAGGATGGTAAAATTCAACCATATATGGATAACTCACTAGTATTGTTCCCAAAGCCAAGCGAGATGCCACCCTCTTGACTGTATGAGGAATCTCCCATAGACAGTCCCAATAAGTCATTTTCTAAATCACCGGCTTGGGATGTGCTCGCCGGAGCGTTATTCATAGACGAACTTCCATTGGTCTCCGGCTCTCCATCAAAATCGATCAAGGAAAGTTCATTTGCGGAATTCTTGCTAACCCCTGTACTGGTACCAAGGGTACCCTTGGCAATCTTCAAAGCTGCATCCACATCGCCCTTCTTCATCAACTTGTACCGCTCCACAGTACGATGGATACTATCATTAATTTCAAGAAGCTTTGCGACAGCTTCATGATCATCCGATTCCTCTTCGCACATCTTCTGTATTTTGGGGTGAGCGCTTTGAAGAGCCGACGCAAGTTCTTCGTAGACATCGCCCTCCGTCATAACATCTCCAGGCTTGAATTCTTCCAAACGTTCTTCTAGTAATCTCGCTTTCTGTTGTACTTTTCCGACTTCCTCTGCTGCTTTGGCTCGGTAATCCGTTTTCGATCTGGTATCATATCCAGCCATAATCTTCATTAACCTGTTGGCTTCTTGCAAATCCTCGGGACCACCACGACGAATTAGTTCTTGCAATTTCGCAGATTGTGCCGCCTTTTCTTCTTCCTCCATCTCTTCGGCAGATTTTAAATTCTATGATATCGTTAGTATCCTAACGAAGGAATCCGTACCCAGATCCATCACTGAACTTACATCGCTTGGATTGAGTACCGCAGCATCCTCCACTCTGACTTCCGGGAATACATAGCCTTTGTAACTTAATAACCTATGCATATCCCTTATGAAACCTAAATCCTCCTTGTACCTCGAAGTCTGACATATCGTTCCCCTCCATTCTTCGATAGCTTCCAAAATCTTCATCTGGACTTTACTCGGTCTGATGGGTGGGCGTTCCGGGAACCTTCTCACCAATTCATTTAGAAACTCTTTTGTGCTAATTTGCAAGTGAAATGGATAACCGCAATTCTTCACACAAATGTCCAACAGGACAAGTGCTAGTATCGCGACATTTGGGTTGCGATGATTAATATAATTGACAATTGCAATGGCTGCTTCCCGTGGCGCGTTTCCCTTTTTCGAATTAATGAGGTCGGAAATTTCGAGGTTCATAGCAAGATTTGGCTCGTAATTTTCAGGGGAACAAGCTTGCTGGATATATCGTTGGAGAGGGGAGGGTCCTGGATCTCCCATCATAGAGAACCTGTCTCGTGCCGCCATTCTTGCGGAAGCTGCCTCCATTTGGAGGTGTGTTCTCCTATATTACCAAGCGGAACGGTTATCGATCTTTAAAAAAAGTGTTGGTTGTAAGAACTTCGTCGATGAGCTGATGCGGCGCGATAGAGAGAGTTGTAATGAGCTCAGTGGGGTGGACACGATTGGACTTTGGAATGATGAGAGGTGCTTAGTCATCACTATTCGCAAGGCTGGAACATTTCTTGGCTCCCCACCTCGATTTTTATATCACATCATACATTTACTTTCTCTTTTGTAGATAAATCGCCACATATTGACGTTCATCTGCATATACACATTATGGTTCGACACAAGAAAGATAACTTCTCTTCTCGAGGCAAGAAATATAGTAATCCTCCACGAACTCGAGGCCCTCGCAACAACTCCGACGATGAATCACAACCCCGCTCTTCTCGCCCTCCATTCAAAGCCGCATGTTGGGATCTCGGTCACTGCGATCCAAAACGATGTTCCGGAAAGAAACTCATGAAGCTTAATCTTATGCGAGAGTTACATATTGGTCAGAAACATCAAGGCGTTATTATATCTCCAAACGCGAAAGCTACAATATCCCCGGCAGATCGTGAAATCATGCAACAGTACGGTGCGGCGGTCGTAGAATGTTCATGGGCTCGTACAGCAGAAGTTCCTTGGGCTAAGATAGGTGGAAAATGTGAGAGACTATTACCATATCTCGTCGCCGCGAACTCCGTCAATTATGGTAAACCTTGGAGGCTAAATTGTGTAGAGGCTTTGGGAGCTGCCTTTTACATATGTGGATTCGAGGATTGGGCAGAACAAATATTAGAACCATTCAATTACGGCAGATCATTCCTGGATATTAATTCAAGTTTATTAAAGCGATATGCAGCATGCAAAGACGAAGCAGAGATTAAGAAGGCTCAGGAAGTTTGGATGGAGAAATTAGAGAGAGAATATAAAGAGAGTAGAGAGGGTGGAGCGGATGGTGAAGATGATATTTGGAAAAGCGGAAATACAAATCATAGATTACCGGAAAGTTCGGAAGATGAGGATGAGGATGAGGACGAAGAAGATGAAGAGGGAAAAGACAGTGACGACGAAGTCGATGGAATTTATCTCGGTAAAGAACAACCAAAAAAGAAACCCCCACCCGAAGATGATGAGGAGGAGGAGGAGGATGAGGACAAGGATCCTTTTGCCATCTCAGATGATGAGGATGATGAAGAGGAAATGGCAGAACTCCGACGAAGAGTCCTAGCCTCCAAACCATTTGCCAATCCACAAAATTCCAGTCAAAAGGTCGCACCAGAAAAGATCTCAAGGCCAGTACCATTGAAAGAAGATTCGGAAGTCGAAGCGGATTCGGATAATGGAGAAGACGATGAATTTGACAACATCATTGATGCTACTCCTGTCACCGATAGGACAGGTATAATAGCAAAAGAGAAAGCCAAGACCGTATCTCCAACCATTGCCAGTGCTACATTTTCAAGGACGGTCGTTGGGGCACCAAAGAAGTGGTAGCTAAGAAGTGGTAGGTAGCTTTATCATAAACTCAAATAGATTTAAAGCACTCCCCCCTTTCAAAGTCTATGATCCTCACAATTGATATCATTGTCCCAGTTGTTATAATTATCTCAATTTATATTATTATCCCAATTCATATTATACAATCACTCATACCCTCATATTTCCATACAATCTTACCATATAACCATATGATTGAGCCTAGTAAAGAGACCACAAGCCACACAAAGGCGATCTATAGAAACCGCGGCACGATGATTGTCTCGCTGGCTCTAAAACATTATAACTTTCACAACATATAGAGCATCTTAATGATGTGATGGAAGATGGAGAGACTGGCCGGTTCAGAGAAAGCCAGTGCAATCTGCAAGAAGTAATGGTATCCGCTCGGAGCAACTTCACTTTGTAACAAACAATATCGTCGAAAGAACTGATTGTTGAAGCATAACTTTGAGTAGGCACTGAAAACTGTCAGAATGTGATGCGCAGAATCGAGAGTCATATTGCATCAACACTACTGCCGAGCAGAATGAAGTACTCGATGAACCTTTCGCATATATTTTCGTTAATAGGAAAATCAAAATTGGATCGGCTTAGTGCAACGAACACTTCACATGCTTGTGTCACTATGAATGATTACCAACTTTGCTTCTTGATCTTTGAAAGTCCTTTGAACGCAATCACTCAACTCGAAACGTGTATTTATAGCATTTAGAATTTTGCCCTGCATTCTTGAATATTTCATCTTGACTGCGGAAGTTCCTGATCTTATTCTAGAGGCAAAATAATTGATAAAACGTTGACCGAGATCCGTAGTATCTGCTGGTTTCGATGGCTCGATGTCTTTCAAGAGCCGAGGATTCACTTGGTGGGCTCGGATGTTGAGAGTCGCTCACAATTCTTGTATTTACCTGAAGGTCTATAAATGATTCGGCATTAAACAGTCCAACACGGTCTCAATCATTGAACGTAAATACTGGATTGAATATTCAATGATCATATTGCAGCCACACATAAATTCAACATTAATCCAATTTGCCCTCACAAGAGTGGTCCCAAATGAACATGATACAACACGATTACCTCAATCTACATACGCAAAGGAATGCTCCCCAAAGATGTAATTAGAAATGCTTTAGAACGATCTAGTGGTACCCCGAAAGAGACAGTAGACCTAAAATGGTTTAGCCTCATTTAAACGAGTTCTCCTATTTCAACCGGACTCAGAATCATCGCATCGTGTACCGACACTAAATGTCTAGTCTATCACTAATTTCACAGTCCTAAATGTCTCCCAAATATGCAGTCGTACAAATTCTTACCAGAGAAAGTTCTTCTCCATTCTTTTTTAACCTCAACCACAAATTCGACTTAATTCCCCTTCCCAAAATTAGTATAATGATATCCCCGCCATCCAGAAGACTATCAGATTTGAAATATCTTGAATCTCAATTTCTTGTGGTATCAAATCATAGTTCTCTCATTCACAATCATGAATTCGCCAAATCCGATTTCGAAAGTTATTTACTGGTTTTGGGCTCTGTTCGCTACATCTAGGCCTAAGAATCAAAATCTCACAGAAATTATTGTGAATCAGATCAAAGAACGCTGTAGAAAAGATGCTCTTGAAAGCCGTCGTCAAGTCATGAGTACGAAGCAGAGAATTAATGTCTTCATGGAAAAGGTTTTGCTCTTCATGACTAATGGGACTGTCCGTGAATAAAATATCATGGATTGCTTGGAAAAAGTTTGTGAGTTGGTTGTACTTGTCTCCTGACATATATTCAAGGAGTTTAGCTAATTTTCCATGCCGCAGACTGAAGTAATTTCATGAGCATTAAAGGCGCTTGATATTATACTGCTGCGGTTGAGGTTCGGTTCAGTAATGGACTTAATTGTCTTAGAGCCCTGATGACTATGAGAATTTGGAGTCTAGCATGAGATGGAGTTATGGGATTTATTTGGATTGCACATGCTGAGATAAGATAGTCTCATGTTCATCATGTAACTGGGCGGAAAGGTATATATTGGTCAATCTCTTTTGCAATAAATTGTTGCCAATAATGAGATATTTTGATCAAGATACTTCCTATTTGAGTAGATTTCACGAACAAGTCAAATTGAAGATATGAAGTATCCAATTACTATCGAACGATTGAAGTGTGATGAGCCCATGATCGCTTTTACAGCATGAAAAGATATAGAAAACCCTAGCTTTCCCAGTGACCCAGATGTATTAAGCACATACATACTTCCACATTAATTCGCGATCACATGATTCTGAAGATACGGAACCGTAGATTCGAGGGTGAGATTGACAAGATCCGCTACGTCGCTGTTCCTCTGCAGTACGGTCAAAGTTCAACCACTAACTTTAAACGTGCACCAAACCAGGCAACGTATTTCACCCCGATGCAATTACCCATATAAAAAGATCATCTAGACACCCGGTAAAATTCTTATGAGACTTTATTTGTAAAAGTCTAACAAAAGAACTTCGAACCCAATCACTCAACAATATTTCCAAACCACATACAACGATTCATCTACACAACATCACACCCAAGTTATCAAGATGGCCTGTTCCTGTATCAGAACCTACTTCTCGAAGTTATCTCACAAGCAACATCAAAAATCTATTCTAAGACAGGACCAAAAAGATGCCCAAATCAAAGTCGATGAAGAAACCAAATTCAACACTGGAATGAACGCTCAAATTGAAGCGATTACGGAACCAAGACTCGGAATGGGGGATATTACTGAGGAGGAATATGATAGAGGAGTCATTGATTATAGAGAATACGAACCAATCACCATTACTCTGAATGATGTTCATGGAGTTACGCATATTCAGGAGGTCATCAACTTCAATCTTTCAGTCCCCTTGGATGAGCTTTCAAACCTAGACAGAATCGAGACGGCGGGGAAAGAGCTCAGTAGCGAGTCTCAAGATATAGTAGAGATGGTAGAGAGTAACCACACGCCTATGACCAACGAATTTTGTGACAGGGAAAATCTACAGATAGTAGAAGTCAATAATCCTGCTATCACCAACGAATCAAGTGACAAGGAAAGTCTAGAAATGGTAGCCATAGATATGGATGGTCAGGAAACACGCATCACATGGCGAGGTATCATTACACCAGAGCGAAAGAAAAGTGATGAATCTATACACTAAGTCCTTGCGTAATCTGGGAATCTGTGATAGGTCTTCGGTACCACCAGTAGGTGTACGGACTGAAGGGACACTCCAAGAACGGAATTATAAATATCTCTTGATATATCGATTGGTATATCTTAGGAATATATACCGTATTTCATTAGAGATTGAACAATCAACAGATAAATTCTGATATCAAATGATTGAAGAATGAATTTGTTGAGAATTTCAGAAGTTGAGAAATGTCCCGTTAGGCTACACACCCAAAATGGTGTACCTAAAAGTTGATCGACACCATAGCTGAATTATTTAGTTAGAAATGATATAAGATTACACGCTACAAGTTACTAGTGAAGTGACAAGAATGACATATTTCTGGCCTCCCGTGGAAATATTTATTGAGCTCTCTCTCCTTGAAATTGTTCTAAAGCCATAATTCACAGATCACATCAGATCAAATCATGACTTGCAACACCAGAGTTTCCTCGAAACATCTTCTGCTATACATCTAATTCTAATTCTAATTCACACCTAATTTATGCACTATCTCACCTCCATCATTTAAATCCCAAAATGCCTTTCTCAAACCTCTCATCTTTCAACCGACTATTTGGCCACCACTGCCCGCATCCCACTCACTGCCCTACCTGCCAAACCGGCATATACAACTCCAAACTCCCCAAAAAGACCCCGAAAGAAACCATCTCCTTCCGATCCATCGTCGAAGAACACTTCACCTCCATCATCCGCGCGGATCCCCGCATCATCAAACGAAGACTCCACGTTTTCGTCGGCCAACCCATAACTCTCCACCTCGCCACTTCAGAGAATGAATATGTGCATGAATATCTTTGTTTCGATTGGGGGAAACCGGAAAGTCTAAATTTGGATTTCCAGGAGAAATCAGTTAAGACTCAACAAGATCTTGTGAACTCGTGGGAGCTGGCGGAGAGGGTTTCGCCGAAGGAGGGAAAGAGAATGGTGATTAAGAGGGGATTTGTGGTTACGCGGGTCGATACGGAGATTTGTCGCAGTATGTATCCGAGGAGCCCTACGAGATATTGGAAGGCGAAACATACTTTGTTGAGGGAATATGTGGATTTGTAAATTGGGAATCATGATGTAATTGTTCTGTTTGGAGTGGACTGGGATATTCTCATTTGGCGAGGCGCTGGGTGGGGTGGGCAGAATCATGTATCACTGGAGTTCTGACTCTTATTAAGGGTTTGAATATCATGTTTAATTTGAGTAATTTAGTTTCAATATTATAAGCATGTAAGCATAATATTCTAGAAAAATCTGATATTACAAAAAACATTAATTTAACCCTTTTCCAAGCCTAACGAGGTATAACTAGAATGCTTAGTATGGAGCTAGATGGGTACTAATTGATATGCTAAGCGAACACAATCTCATCAAATCCCCTTTTGATTTCTCAACTTATTTTTCGTGATCTTACTGGAGAACGAAGTGAGAGTCATTGGCCGACTGATTTTTTGAGTTACAAGCCTCCCTTCATCAGATGGTGACATCTTGTCTATAGTCTTTGGCCCTCAAAACGACAAGATATCAACCGCTTCACTAATCTTATTTCTTATTGTATTAAGAGAAAGCCCTAGTAAAGGGAAGCTGAGAAATACATCAAATGATAAATTACTCTCATGCCCCTTAGATTCTATGATAGGTAGAATGCGCCCTCAAGTGATAGATTCTAGTCATTTTAGGTTAGATTTAATGATATGAAGAAGGGTAAATTTCATGATGAAAGATTGGATTCTATGATGAGAGGCTGAATTCTGTACTCATTAATAAGAAGAAAGAAATTCCTCGGATTCGTAGTCTGTAAATTCTTTTCCCCCGACGGCTAGCATCAGATATTTCATGAATATCTCTAAAAAAATTATAAAGGTTCAGTCCTAGGCAGTCATCTGTTTACTCCGTTAAATAGAGTAAAGAATTTCCGCTTGACTTTTGTATCTATTCGAGGAAAAGCTACAAAAGGCTTCCGAGGGTTATTCTTCTAACATCTCTCGATATTTCAACTTGCATATTTTAGCAATTGTCACAATCATTCATCCAAAATGAAGCAATCAAATTGTGAATTCTGATATCATACAATTCAAGAATGAATTTGTTAAAAACTTTGAAAGTTGGGTAGTGTCCCATCAATCCATGCACCCGCTGGTGAACCTGGTGTCGATACATATGATAGAATGCCTTCTCGTCTTCATGACATTATCTGAAGCAACCAGTGTATACCAAGTTTTCAAACCCCCATTAGTAGATGGTATTGTGAGATGATGTTCATCTTGTATTCCTCGATACTATGTCTAGTACGACAACTTCAGAGTGGAGCTTATTCTGGTATTTGCTTGGATAGCCATACTACTACTTCAGAAGATTTGGAGAGAAAACTCTCTTGTGTTGTACCCTTCTTGAATGTTCTTCAAAGTAGCGCTAACATTTCCGACTTGAAGAATCTTTTTCGTCTGGTGCTTGGGATCGATTCCCCTACCAAGAGGGATCGTTCATGAGACAGAGGGCGTATGCCATCTCAATGTGAGAAGCAAAGGCCAATGCTCATGCCGAAGCTCTATGCATATAGACCAGGCCGGAATCAGTGTGATGCACAGTAGCAGATATAGTAATATGCAAAGAGAAATTAAAGCTGACTTCTTCTAGCGAAGAAATTATACGTGAATTGTATGTTTTTACTTGGGCCTTACCCGTGAATGGGTGAATTAGTGAGTGAGTTGCTAACACCCGAACTCAGTTTTGTAGATGCAGAAGAGTCACAAATTTGCAGCAAGTCTCGATGTACAAACTCAGAAAGCAGCGAGGCTAATGAAACTCTTATTTTAGAAGTCAATTGCACGCTCGGTAAGACCAATAATATCAACTCTAAGTATACGGAGGTATGCTAATCAACCGCTGATCATACAGACACCATTGTGAGGGAGAATTGTTAGTAGTTGATAATAACTCAAACAACTGATCGTAAGACTAATCACGTGACCAAACATGGAAAGCAGAATTATGAGCATGAAACGAAGGAAGACTTTAAGAAGAGAGTACGGGGAATTGGGGTTGAAAAACAGTAAGTAAAACTTCTTTTTACTTACAAAGGAGACTAATGTTGAATTTTGCTAGTCTTGCATCAGTTATTACGATTGAGATTGCGCTCGTAGCCTTGGCAATTGCAAATTGTTGTCTGGAAACAAGAAGCACCAAAGTGAGTCTGTAAGATGGGAAATTACGATATCTATCACATTAGCATCAATACTTCAATCCATACAATCACTCCCTCTAACCAACCCCCTATTCAACCACCCATTCAACCCCCAAAAGACCAAATTCTCTCATTCTCTCACAGCCAGCCAGTCAACCAAACCGCAATCTATCGTCTTCCCTTGCCGCTCTTCCTCCTCATTCCCATAGTGTATCAACGACATGAGACTCGAACTCAAACTCAAAGTTCAAATGTGATTTATGAATTGAGTGCATACCTACACACACATACATATATCTAAATAAACTACCTCCCTTCTCCCCGTTCGGTCTGGTCAGTCAACAATCCAGTATCAAGAAGATCAAATAACACAATACAACATCGCACTTCAATCACCAAAACCAAGATCAAAGAATGAATTCTCTGATATCAAATTCCGAATTATCATTTTCCTCCCCCCACTAATCTAATCTCATCACCACCCCCTCTCTTCTCATCATACATCCAACCATTCATCGACCCCTATCCCCATTCCCCCATGCTATGCACGCTAATATGTTTGATCAATCAAAAAAAAGAAAAAAATAGCCAATAACGAAAATCATTATTTGAAAGCCAATCAAACAATCAAGAACATCTTATTGCCGACCAGAGTAGACAGACAAACAAACGAAAAAAGAAAGTAAAGTAATGTAAAAACTCTTTCTCATCGCTCCTGGCTATCACATCAATGGTCTTCTGCATTCTCATATCATACACCCTTTTTTTTTTGTTCCTTCATGTACCTGTTTCTCATTCGTTATTTTGCCTTGGCTTTTGATATCCGGTTTTCATCCATCCCAATTCTCATAGGCTAGTACCTTCATGCTCGTTCGTTCGTTTTCCAGAAAAGCGAGTCGTGTCATGAGTATTTTGATCCACCCGTCCAATTCCATCATGTCATTATCGTGAAAACTCGTTCAAGATTCCATGTTCGTTTAATTCAACACCCCCCTCCCCCAATTACAATTCTGTCCCCTCAAATAGCATTTGCACCAGTTGCTCTGAATCCCTTTGGTGGCAGAGTCTTTATCTTTCCACCCGCAAGTTTTTGAGCAGCGAACTTTTCTCTTGCCAACTCGATAGCACTCTTTTGTCTTTCTCCTCCAATTTCCTTCTCACCACCTTTGCCCTTCCCATGTGGCTTTCCAATTCCATCTCCAAGAATTTCCTTTCCAACAACAGCATTTGCATTACCATCTTGACTCTTCAATACCATTTGACTTTGAATATTCGATTTTCCTTGTGTATCACCACTCTTAACTCTCTTTACCCAATCCGCTCTTCTCCTCTTGAATAAATCCATGGACCAATTTCTCCAAACAATTCTTCCAGTCCAGCTATCTCTAAGTAAAGGTTCGTAAGGCATGAGAGACATAGCGATACGTTCGCAGAGAGAAAATAGGGAAGCTGATGAAGTAGAAGTTGGAGTGGTCGTGGTGTGTAGAAGGGAATCCAAGATGTGTGTTCCTGCAGACGACAAGGATAATGTGATAATTGGAGGTTGAGGTGTTGGAGTAGCTCCGGCTGAAGGTGATATAATAGAATTGATGAGTTTGCGACGGAATAAAAGGTTTGAAGGGGTATTAGGTGGAGATGGAAGCAATGACGCTTGAATGATATGAGTTGTGGTTGGGTATAACGAGAGTGCGAGAATCGTCGAGGTAGGAAGAGCCAGTAAAGAATTCTGAATGAGTTGCGCAGGCGGTCCAGGAATCTTGAGCATAGCCTGAGCGAGTAAGGATCCGTGCAGTTGAGATGGGCTAGGTTTTGGTAGAACCGGAACCGGAGCTGGTTTATCATCATCAGCGGCTGCCGGAGGTGGTGCTGTAGCTAACGTAAGAGTTTCGAGAGAAATATCGGCCATCTTCAATATCAACTCATTCTTATCAGATCCATATGCATCAGCAATACTTTTTGTGAGAGCTTCCGTACTTGCACGTCGTACTTGACAACGTTCCAATAAAACCTTGATGATATTTGTACGTTGTCTGCCGACCAACCCTTCAATCTGAGGAGAAATTTCGGTTATCGCTTCCTCAAGATCTTCTTTGCTGAGACGATTCAAAACTCGAATGACAACGTAAGATGCGATCTCGTTTCGTGCCAATCCCGCGATTCGATCCTTGAAGATTGCTCGATAAATTTGTTTGAATAACTTTCCTGGACTATGTGTCATGATTGTTTCCAACACTCTAGATCCAATTTGATCGTAGACAATACCATTGACGAAGATGGCAGATTGACTACCTTCTACAGTGATGTCATCTGGTAAAAGTGTCGAAATAAGAGTTTTTTGTTCAGAATTACCACCCTTTTTGGAGCTGGGATTCGTGAGCTCTAATTCGAGTAATAATTGTAAACAAGGATTTCCTGTAGGATGTCCAACCAAAACTTGGATGAAAGCTCTATCCATGGAAGCAATGGTATCCGAAATGATCTTCTCAATTGCCCACAAGAAAGATTCCGGCACCGTACGCTTATTGAGAGAAAATTCTGTGGGAGCGGTATCCAATCCATTTATGCCAACCTTCTCCTTCTTCTTGCTTTGTAGTAATGATTTGGTCGAAGATTTCTCCAAAGGTCGCCCAGAAAGGATGATGAGTAACACTCGAAGTGTATGGGAAGCGAATCGATCGGTGAGGAGAGAGGACAGTTGTCCTTCAAGTTCGTCCAATGTTGCTAGAAACAAACTTTCCATCGACTCGGTAATCTCATCTTCTTTTCCCTCTGCTCCATCCTCTGCGTCTGCCTTTACCTCTGCCACTTTCATCTCATCCTTCTTTTCTTCTCCCGTGAGTTCCTCGGTAACGATTGAAGCCGATTGAATGAATAACGTTTCACAACAATGACTTGCGAAACGATGTGATACCAAATGAGGAAAATTTCCGGCAAATTGAGAGAACAATTTCTTTTTTTGCTGAGGTGTACTCAACAAAATCAATCTTTCCATTAATCTCGAGCATGATTGACTACACGCAATCTTCAATTCCTTTCCCTTTGCTTCCCGATATACATTTGCGAGAAAAAGGCTTCGCTCTTCATCTGAGGGGAAATCGTTCAACTCGAGTAATTCGTCTGCTCTTCGAAAGTATTCTTGTTCTTCGTCCTCCAGCAATCCATAATAAGGTCGGTCAGCAACTTCGATTGCATTCGTACCGGTAGCAGCTGGGAAGGAAGATAGACTTTTGTCGTTGTCTGGACCTGTGAAAGAAACCTCGTCTTCAATTTGGGAAGATCTTCGCTTTTTCAGATCTTGGGAATCATTATCATGATCTTCTTCCCTATCGGTATTTTCTTCCCTCTTTCTTTTCAAAGTGTCTCTCCTACCTCTGGCATGCTTATTTTCTTTTGGCATTTTGGAGGGGGTGTGCTGGTTTTTGAGAGGGAATCGAGGGAATCGAGGTAAATCGAATCGAATCACGTTGAACGGAATTGAGTCGAATAGAATTGAATGTAATGTGAAAATGAAACAATAAAAGAGTGAGAATATAATGTAGAAAGAAGAATGAATTCTGTTTTCTCTCTCTTCCTTTGAATCAAGGGATGTGTGGAGGAGGAGGCAGGAGGTAGGAGAGGGCAGACAGAGAAAGTTGATGTAATTGAAGAATTCGAATCAAAAGTTTTGGAAATGTAAATTGCGGGCGCTAGCGGTTTATTTTTGTACTTTTTTTACCTATGAAGTGCTGGGGATTGTGAAATAACCTTGTATCGTAGCTGAACTTTCTTGGCAAAATGATGAATGAATGGAGTGAACAGAGTGAATGGACCTTTTAATGGAGTCGATCGAGTGATGGATAACGAGGAAATGCACCAGTGACTGTCAGTGAACGAGTAAATTGGTCAAAGTGTTGGAACGAAGTGGGTTGTAAGCCTTGTCGTGCCTTGTTGTCACATAGCTAGGAAGGTCAATCAGAAGAAAAATCCCAGCGTTTATCAAAGCGGTGAGATCTTCAGCCTTTTTTTTTAAAATCTTTTTTTTTTCTTTCATTTCTTTGCTTTGAGTTTCGATTTCAATCGTTACTCGCTTGATTTTATTAATCTTCAGTCGAACTGCAGTCGAACTGCAGTCGAACTTCACTCCAACTTCACTTCCTTCAAACTTCACTTCACTTCCCTCCAACTTCACTTCCTTCAAACTTCACTCCAACTTCCCTCCAACTTCACTTCCCTCCATACATCACTACACATCCTCAAGCCCAGGTACAAATAAATCACCGCTGTTTCCTTTGGTCCGATATTCTGCCGTTTTTCTCTCTCTTTTGGTTTTGCTATGGCCCAGCCAGCCCGGCCAAGGGTAGTGGAAGAGAGGTATGGCTACCAGGGATAATAAGTTTATGGCTTTGACAATCCCAAATGACTGACGAAATGACTGGTGAAATGACTGATGAAATGATTGATGATGGTGAAATCTTTGCGTCATGGGAATGGAATATATTTTCATCTGTTACTAATACAAATGGTTAGTCATCGCCAGTAAGATCCCGTGGATTACGGTTTCATATCATGTCAATCCATTCATCATTGACTGCTTGAGTGAGGTTATAATGCGGTGCTGCCGGCACCGGTATACACACACATACACATACATCACTGGTGGTCAAGGACATTCCGCGATTGATCTTCCGCGATTGATCTTCCTCGATTGATCTTCCTCGCTCTACTTCCTACACACACACATCACCTCGCCCTCTCCATCAAATCCTCCCTCACAATGTCTTCACATGTAACAGCAGAATCCGCCTTGCCACTCCGGGACGACACGCTTTCCACTGGGCCAGACGCTCCAAACCCATTGAACCGTGCCGATGAAGTAGAAGATGTGAGAAAAGTCCATGCATTCATGCATTCCCAGTTACGAGTTATCATGATCGTTATCATGATCATCACCCCTTCAATCTTATACGCACACCGAGCTACCTACACATCCTAGCTACCTACACATACGACCTGCACATACGACCTGCACATACGACCTACCCATCCTCCCTACACATCCTCTCTACATTTCCTCCCTACACTTCCTTCCTTCACTTCCTTCCTACACTTACCGTATACCTCATCTCAATATCAAAAAAACCTTAATCCACCAAGCCATGTCTTTCATCCCATCATCTCCATGTCACATCAAATCTTAGCAATCAAAAGTAACCACAGTAACCATCAAAAGTACACATCATCTAACATGTTTAATTATCCTAGTTACTCAATGCCGTTCAATCTCTCATCATCCCATTCATCGCATCGGCCGATGAAGATGCCATGACCAAACACACCGGTCATGGAAAAGCCATTGCCGGTGGAGGGCCTCGAACCACTCTTCTCGAACATCACAAACCAGAGAAATTACTCCAATTGCTAGATTTCAATCTTCCCAGCAGTGGAAAAGGAAAAGAGGGTTTACTATCATCCATCGAGCAAGTGCTCAAATACAGCGTGAATACGTGGGATCAAGGATTCTTAGATAAACTGTATGCAAGCACCAATGCGGTACGTATCCATCTGCATCTCGCTGCATCCACAATTGAAGCGGTGAAAGTTACACATTCCAAAGCACTTCAGCTGAAAACTTGATCGATAGGTAGGAATTATTTCGGAATTAATATTGGCCGTTTTAAATACAAATGTAAGATTAATCCTTCATGGGTCATGTCTTGACGACTGATAACCTTGCATGTCATCCATCATGTCAGCCCTATACTAAACGCATCAATAGGTTCATGTATACCAAGTTTCCCCAGCCTTGACCATTATTGAAAAAACCACGGCAAAAGCTTTTGCCAATCTCTTCGGCTTCGATGGTCCTCACGCAGGAGGTATCTCAACTCAAGGTGGTTCGGCTTCCAACACAACCTCCATCATCATTGCCCGCAATACTCTCTTCCCAAACACAAAACAAAATGGAAATGGAAATCATCAATTCGTTCTGTTCACTTCGGCGCATGGTCACTATTCCCTGGAGAAAGCCGCTCAAATGTGTGGTCTCGGATCCAATAGCGTGATTCTCGTTCCCGTCGATCCTCGAGGTCGTATGATCCCCTCCAAACTCGACTCCCTCATCAAAAAGAGCATTTCCGAAAACAAAACTCCCTTTTACGTAAATGCCACCGCTGGAACCACCATCTATGGTTCCTACGACCCCTTTACCGAAATCTCCGCCATCTGTAAATCGCACAACCTTTGGTTCCACATCGATGCTTCATGGGGTGGTCCCGCCATCTTCTCTCCCACCCACGCCTCCAAATTAAAAGGTTCTCACCTCGCCGACTCTCTAGCCGTAAACCCGCATAAAATGTTAAATGTCCCCGTAACCTGTTCCTTCCTCCTCGCACCCGATATTTCAAAATTCCACAAAGCAAACACGCTTCCCGCAGATTACCTCTTCCACGCCATCGAAGACGGAGCCGAAGTCTGGGACCTCGCAGATCTCACTCTGCAATGCGGTCGTCGTGGAGATTCTCTCAAACTAGCCCTCTCCTGGATCTACTACGGCACATCCGGTTTCCAGCAACAGATCGATCATGCTTTTTCCGTGGCGGAATATTTTGCCCAATTGGTCGAAGACCATAGGGATCTGGTACTTGTTTCGCAAAATCCACCGCCCTGTTTACAGGTTTGTTTTTACTTTGCGAAGGAGGGGAAATTGGGGGACAAAGAACAAAATACGAAAATCACCCAGGATGTAGCGCAGAAATTGTTGACGCGGGGATTCATGGTGGATTATGCGAGTGGAGAAAAGGGGAAATTCTTCAGGGCCGTGGTAAATATTCAAACGAGACGGGAAACAATGGAGGGGTTGGTGAAAGCTATTGTGGAGATTGGAGAGGGTGTTGTGGTGTAGATTTTGTAAGAGAAGGGATTGAAAGGAAGGTGGATATGAGAACTGGATGATTGGAGAGACATTTAGATTTACATTATTCCATTACAATCCAATCCAATGCAAACAATGGAAAGGAATCAAACGCAATGTTTACATCTGATTCCATCACAAAAGCCTCGTTGATTAGGTATGCAACGAACAGTACTCCATCTCTCACGATACCCATTCCTATCATTCCCATCACCCAAAACTATAAGAAGAGAAGAGGGAAAGATAATACAGGTATAAGAACCTTTCATTGTTCGTCGAGAACTAGATGATTGGATAGATGATTGGATTTTCATCACTCCATTATAACCCAATCCAATCCACACAAAGCATAACAGATAATTTATATCAAATTCCATTAATTACAAAAGCCTCATGAACAAAAAACCATTCAACAACCAATACTCCATCTCTCATTTCCATTATCCAAAGCTCGCTTCCCGAAATCAAAAATCAAAAATCGCCCCTCTTCAAAACCGGTTGAAACATCGAAATCACACTTTTTCTCCACCTTCCTCCTTCTCTTTCTTTTTCTCTTCTTCCCATTCCTTCCCCCTCTCTTCCTTCTCCGTTCCCATCCATGTTCCCCTCTCCTTCCCCATCCTCATCCCCATCCCCATCCATCTCCTCGATCGTAATCCACTTATCATCTCCTCTTCCCCTCCCATCCCCATCCCTCTCTTCTTTTCCTTTTCCCTCTCCCTCGCTTCTCTCCTCCTTTCCATCCCCATTCCCAATCCCCAATAGTATATCTCCTCTCTTTCTCTTTCTCCTTCTCCTTTTCCCTTCTCCTCTCATCCCCTTTCCCCAACCCCCAATAGTAAACCTCCTCTCCCTCTCTTTCTGATCCCCAAACTCTAATTTACTGACCCGATACCCACCATTTCCATCATAAGTCCGTCTCCATTCTCGATTTTGGGTGCGTTCCTCCGCGGCGGTTTTGGTGCTGCTGTAGAGGTAGGTGAGGGCTGATTTCATGGTTTTTGCGGGAGATGTTTTTGAGTGTGATTTTCTAAGAGACGTTTTTTGTGGTGTGGTTTTGGGTTGGTTGTGGATGTTATAAGTGATGTTATATAGTGTGGTTGAACGAGGTGTAGTTTGTGATGTTATTTGTATCCCTCTCCTCGGCGAAAATGGATAGATATCAATATGAAGGCGAGGCGTGGATGTGTGAATCTATAAAGTTGATATGGTCTGGAAACGAGTTCTTGTTTTGTATTGTACAGCAGAGGTTAAGGGTTGTGGGTGTTGGGTGTTGAGTAATTATATCGTGGAGGACTTTCAGATGTGATATAGCATAACACAATATAAATATCAATATAAATCCAGATCCAAAAAGTCCAGAAAGAAATAAACCAAAACTCCCAACCAACACAACACAACACAACACGATACCCAGATGAAGAAGTCAGACTAGCAGACTAACCCCTCCCCTCCCCTCTCCTCGCCCATCAATACCTCCCATCCGATGCGAAAACACCACACGCAAATCTCGCAACGAAATCCTACCCCTTCTCTCTGTCGATCAATCATGCATCGAAGCCGTATAATCTCCCTAGGTAAGTACACATACACACCAAATTCCACCTATCTCCCTATCACAGTATTTCTCTAGAAGAAAGCAAAGTAAAGTTTCATCCCCTCCCTCCGAAACAACCATCAAAACACCATACCTACCTACCCATCAATCCCCCACCCTTCCGTTTCAAGATATCGAATTTCAAACATCACATCAACATCAACATCAACATCAGACGAATCCAACAATCAATGTTCAGATTCCATGCGAAATACACACATTCCTCACTAAACGATGATCAGGAAATGGGTTTCGTTTCTTGTGAATCTTCGTTTCGTTTCGTGTCAGTCGGAGCACAGACTTACTTGGTATCTAGGGAGGTATATCATACTCTACTGTAACATTAATATCTGCATGAACATTAACAATATTAACATTAACAACATTAACATCAACAACATTAATAACATTAATAACAGTAATATTAACAACAACAATCACAGAGTATCCAAGTAAGTGAACACACGACACTTCCCAAATCAATGAGGACAATCCGAGCGACCAACTACCCGAAGAAAGGCATTGGCCACCTAGCTCTCCTCCGAACTCTACTCTACCTACCGGTCTCCATAGGAGAAAAGAACATAACAGTCCAGAAGAACCACGAGCGAAACCCCTCTCTCCACAATTCAATCATTCCATTTCAATTCAATCCAGCGAATTATATATTTAAATAGTGTTAAAACTTAAGACTTTCTCAAGGTCTGTTTAACACTATTATTTCTCATAACTTTATCTGTAGTTGATTTGTTATAGAATTTATGGGCCGATGAATTTTGACCTCATTTTCCCCCATGTCCCCAAGGATAGGATGTGTTCAATCGACGAGGTGAGAAAACCCATCCATCTCTTCCGGTAAAATGGAGTGAAATCAGAGAATCTTCGATCCATGCAAGAGCAGTGAGTGAATTGAGGATAGAGTCTACTAATCTAATTTCTATACATAAAAACCATATCTCTCATTCATTCATTCATTCATTCATCCATCTCTCATCTCTTATCTTCGACTCCCGCAAATGCGAGTGGAAATCTATATTTATACATATCAAATCCTCACAACTACTCCTACGAGAAATTACAAATATCTCTTCTCTTGCTTCTCCTCATATGCCTGTATTTGATCTCCGATTTGGAAGTCTGTCCATCCTGAAAATCCCATGCCACACTCACCACCCTTTTTCATCTCTGAAACGTCTTTCTTTACGTTCTTGAGGGATTCGAGTTTACCTATCACACAAGTTAGTATATTGAATTCCAATTACTCGTCGGAACGAGAGCTGAGCAATGGCAAGGCAATGATAAGAAACAAAAGACCACAAAGCGCAATGACATACCATCAAACACCTTCTCCCCATCTCTCAGTACCCTATATCGATCATCCTTAGACACGGTACCATTACGAACCTTACAACCTGCTACACTCCTATACTTCCTTCCTTTGATATTGATATCGAAGATCTGTGCCACAACAGCTTCACCCAATACTCTTTGCGTAACCAACGGTGGTAAGAATTTCGACATCTCAGCTCTTACATCATCCATCAATCTATAGATGATATTATGATCCAAGATCTTGACCTTATTTTGCGCAGCAAATTGTGCAATGTTTGGTTCAACCTCAGTGTTGAAGTTGATAACGTAACCTTTTGCAGTGGCAGCATGTTCAATATCAGATTCACTGAGTTTGCCGACGCCAGATCGAAGGACGATAGGTTCTACCTCTTTAGTACCAGTTGCGTTCAATTGATCGACGACAGCTTCTACAGATCCACTCACGTCTCCTTTGATGACAAAGTAGACAGGTTTAGGACCGGTAGGATCTTTGTTAGGAGTAGAAGAATCATCCTTTTCTCCTTCTTCACCAAGAAGAGCAGATTCTTTCTCCGCCTTTTCACGCTCGCGTTTATCATGTTCCATTTTGCGGTTCTCATTGATAGCTTCCATATCCGCGGCCAATTTATCCCTTTCCTCTTTCTCAAGTCGGAATTCGATAACGCTTTTAGCCTTTGCTTCGTCAGGAGCTTGAAGAACTTCATCTCCAGCAGATGGTTGTTCTCTCCATCCATCGATTTCTACTGGTGTACCTGGACCAGCTTCTTCAATCTCCATACCAGCTTCATTGCGTAGACATCTAATTCTAGCCCAAGTTTTACCAGCGACGATAAAATCTCCCGGTCGCATGGTACCTCTCCTAACCAAGATTGTAGCAACCTTACCCATAGACTTGATGCTTGCTTCGATGACATAACCTTCTGCTGGACCATCTCTTTCGGCACGCATATCAAGAATCTCGGATAGAGTAACAGCGGCTTCTTCCAAATCATCCATTCCTCTTCCGGTTTTGCCACTTACACATACGACTTGAGTGTCACCACCAAAATCTTCGACATCGACACCATGACGAGCAAGATCTTGTTTCACTCGCTCAATATCAATTTCAGGCCTATCGATTTTGTTGATTGCGACAATGATTGGTACCTTTGCTGCTTTGGCATGATTGATAGCTTCAATAGTTTGTGGTTTAACACTATCATCTGCTGCAACAACCAAGATCACAATATCAGTAACATTGGCACCTCTTTGGCGCATACTCAAGAAAGCTTCGTGACCAGGAGTGTCGAGGAAGGTAATCGTCTTCCCTGAAGGCATAGGCACAGAAAATGCTCCGATATGTTGTGTAATACCACCATGTTCTGATGCCGCAACGGAAGATTTTCGTAGATAATCAAGAATTGTAGTTTTACCATGATCAACATGTCCCATAATGGTAACAACCGGAGCTCTTTGAGGTAGTATTGATGGATCTTCGGCTGGAGGTCTAGCTTTCAAATCTTCAGATTCACCTCTTTCAATGATAGCCTCAAAATTATATTCCATAGCAATAAGTCCAGCATTTTCAGCGTTCAAAATGTGATCATGATTAACACCTTCGAAACCTAATTCTTCCAGTCTATCGAGGAAATCTTCAAGCTTGACTCTGAGTGCGACGGCTAAATTCGAGACGCTGATGAACTCTGGCAAAATCATAGGGGTTGGTGCAGCTGCTTTCTTTGCCGCCTTTTCACGCTTTCTTTGCCTTTTGAGTTCTGCTCGCTCAGCAGCTAACTCACTCGCTTCATCTTCGTCTTGGTCCGTTTTCATTTCCCGCTGTCTCCTGGCTGCCTTTTTAGCTTGTTTACTGTGGGCATTTTTTGGCAACGAGTGATCTCTGTGATTTGGATTATTCCCGACATCTTCGTCGGCTCCCCAACGTCCCGATAATCTTCGATGCCTCGTTTCTAATTCCGCTGGAGATGAAAATTCGTTCATCACTTTTTCGCGCACATTTGACTCCTCCGGCTCTGTCGCTAGTGGACTATAAGCTACTTGTTTTTCGGCAGGCTTCTCAACCGGATCTTGAAATTCCTGATGTTTCGCCAAATCAATCAATGGGATTGGACTTGTCAAACCGGGAATCTTAAAACTACTTCCACCGGTCTTACCAAAACCTGCACCAAATGAAGGTCCGAAAGATCCAAGAGGCTTCAACATATTGCGAGCTGATTGTGCTGATTGAGCTGGACGTGCGGGTTCAGAGTTTGTGGCAGGGCGTGAATTGAATATGGATCTGCTGTGACCATTGTTTTGCGAGGATTGATAATCATTTGCGGGACTCGTTTGTGAGGTTTGGGCCATGTTATCACTTCTATTATAACTATTTGGCCTACTCCACATGTCCGCTCTTGGAAGTTCTGTAAATCGACCTCTTTCTGATGGAAGTCTACCTCTCAGCGGCGTGTAAGTCCCCGAACTAGCTTCCTGTTCTCTTCTGGCTTGAGCCTCAGTGATAGGATCTTGTGGTTGTTGAACTGGTGGCGGCGGTCGATTTTCTCCAACCTTCTTTCTTAATTGGGTCCATTTGGATACATCTTTGGAGGGCTCGCCATTGCTTTCGTTTGGAGTAGTTGTTTCAGTTGAGTCATTGATTATTTGACTGGAAGTCTGTCTACGAATACGAGGATCGTCTTTCTCAAAAAATCGCAAAGGCGCATCCTGTACAGTGTGCTGCTTATTCATCGCATGTATATCCATAGTCTCCTTCCTTTTCGCGGCGACCTTAGCTATCTCCAGTTTCTCTTTTTGTGAACGTGGTGGTGGTCTAAATGCTCTATTTGTCTCGGGCCCTGGCCCTGAATGTATCTCGACTTTTCGTTGTTGACTTACACGGAACTCTTCTTCGGCAGAAGGCTGTGCAGGTCGCTCTGGTTTGGGAGGATCTGGTATTCTTGACTTCATAGGAATTCCAGCAGCTGGACGACCGAAGCTAGCAGAAGGCCCTACTCCAGGAATTTTAGAACCTCCAAAGGCCGGTTTATTGAAGCCACTTCCCATCCCAGGTCCAGGGCGCCATGATGTAGCAGATACCTTGGGCTGCGCAAGCGGAGTTGATTCATACTCTTCAGATTCTCGTACCGCAGTACCTTCGGCGGGTGGTTTTGATCTCGAATTAGAGGATTGTAAAAATCGCCGCTGTGTATGTGAAGTAGGGCCAATTGCTCCAAGTCGATGCCAACAAAAAGCGCATACTGATGGAGCTGATGTTTCCTATATTAATTAGAATATCATAAAGTATAATACAATTTGAGTTCGCATACCTTTATTAAATTGCGACCCCTCCTCATGATTGCATTGTCGTTTCAATGAATATTTAAATAATTTTCATAAAGTTGCCATCATAATGATTGAAGGAATTTACGGATACCGAAAAGTACCAACTACGCATTTAGATATTCCGAGACATTGTTCCAGCCCTTTCCATTTATAGTCCATACAAATTAGACTTCACAACCACATAATTTTTAATACATTCTTGTATCCACGGGTCATTATGCCTCCTAAAGCGAAGTCCAAGAGGACTTTTAATACTACCTCTGCTAAGAGATCGCCCCCAACCACTTCAGATGAACCTCCTGCCCCCTTTACACGGCCTCCTCCAAAGCTTCAACCATTCCTAGAGAAGCTCTCGAAGTATCATATTTACATTGCGCATATCGACAAACATCCCGCAGACTTCAAAAAGAAGATCTTCGTGGTTCCGGTGCTTATGAATGTTGCAATTGTTGTAGGACTCCTATGGCGCGCTTCTACTGTCTTCCCCTTTTACATGAAGATTTGTTTTTCGATGATGGGGAATTACAACGAGACAACCATTGAAACTCATAAGATACCATTGAATGATACAGGATACGAGATTTTACGTCGTGCTTCAATATTCATGATCGATCTACTTCTATATATTTTTGTTTGGCCATGGCCTCGAGATTTCTTCCTGGGACGAACGATTGGTAATCCGGTGTCATGGAGATTAGGAGTAGGTTTCCGCGAAACAGAGATTGTTGTGCGTCGTAGTAGAAAATGGGATCAAACAATCGGGGACTTCTTAAAGGAAGATAATGAAACTGGAAAAGAATTAATGGCATCGAATGTCAGAAGGGCCATTGAACCATTATGGTTGTCACAAAAGACCGGATATTTGATGTTGAACAGAGAATGGGATTTGGATTGGAAAGCTATGATTCAGGCTACAAAACTGGTGGATAAGAAGACTATGGATCTTCAAGATTTCAAGACGACTGTTTTCGCATGGCACGCAGCTTATGGATGGATGATTCAAACTGAGGCTCCTATCGACCCAAATAGTAAGGAAGAGTTGGGAAGGAAGAAAATAACAGCTTTCAAGGATGAGTTGACATTAATGGGGAAGGAAAACCTTTTCTTCAAATGGATTGAATTGGTTCAGTTCGAATCCTCGAAACCAGAAGGATTTGGTCCGGAGCAGCAAAAGGCCACAATGGAGAAGGCCAAAGTAATGTTCGAGTCACAAGGAGTCGACTTCGAAGCATTTTGGGAAAAGATTGGTGGGACTGAAGGGCTTCCTGGGATGGATTGATTTGGCTTGGAAATTCAGATGATACCCTATAGAACAAGTGATACATTTTCCACCAAAGGCATGAATAAGTATACAAATGATTACGCAGTGATCGAATACCACATTCTGATCAAGTTGATAGGTTTGTGCTATCAATTGGGCACGGTGGAGCTACGCTCCCAACATACACAACCGCCAACATACACAAATGTTGGTTACCAAACATGATACTGATGCACCTTTCAAAATCTTAATTCCTACAAGTGTAGACAAAATGGTGACAAGTGGTACTTGAATAATCTTTGAATTACTATCATCACACTGCTTTATTCCCGTCTACATCCAGTAATCGTGGGTTTTACACTGCGCTTATATGAAAAGTAGCATTCTAGTCGCCTATTCGATTCATTCTGCTTGGATTCCTGAAGTAGATTTGATACACCATTCTCAACTTCGGAAGCGGTCGTCATCATGCTCCTGCTGAAACCTGTTCCCCCCTGAATTCGAAATAGATCCGCCTCTGACAGGTTTCCACGCTCGATAGCCTAGGAAAGCTTTATAGTTCTCCGTCGCAGCAATTCATCTTACAGCCCATTTGCTTTTTCTTAGTCGCCACTACATCCCAAATTTAGACGTCAAAATTCTACATGGACACATCGCTACGCCATGATCAACGAATTTATCGAATTGCCCTCTGCCTTATCACATATACCAAGCTTGCACTACCTCTGTCAATGGATCCAGGGACAGAAGGAGATTGATTTCTAATAATCAAAGCATAAAAAAAAAAGATTTATAGTGACATTCTTGCCATTGCTCCCGTCATATCACCTATGAGTGGAGGCACATAGCACTCAGAAAATTTCTAATTCGACGAACAAGACACCGTCGTTATACACTTTCACAGTGCCTCATTTATATTCGAATCTCGTCGAACATCTGAATGGTCGGATGCGGCCGAGCTTCTCATCAAACACAGTGCTGAATATGCACTGCTTGTCCAATACAACCTTGTCGACGGTTCCGCTTTGTAATTCTCAGTGGCTCTCCAGGACGGGGTCACTGTATACAAGCATCTTGTTTATCCGGGTATCTCTCCATCTAAAATTATCATTTCGTTAGATTTTGCTGGAGGAGACATTGCGGTTGCGTTGTTGAGACATGTTTCTGAGCAGAAATCAAATGGTGGGAATGGTTAATTCTTACCCAATCTTGTCAGTTGTACATTGTGGAGTCTATCTATTGATCTCCCATCTCAAACTTGTGCCCATATCGATTCGCATCGGAATTACATAACAGGATTACCTAGCAGGCTTCACATTAGAATGGGATATCATTCTCTATTTCCCAGACCTAATGGAAATCACGAATTCTTGGTTCTCACTACTACCCCATTCATTTCCCACACCAGTACTTATATGAATGGTGATCGAAAGGTGGAGGGAGGTACTTACCCATACAATTGTTGAGTTTGCAGCGGAGAGGAAGGAGGTAGAGGGTAATAAAGTGGAGTTGCATGAATTTCAAAATGCATCCCATGATATTCTCCTCGTGGGGGATAAAATGCGATGATACAAAGAAGCAAAGAATGCGGCAATTGTTGTAGATCGATGTTTAGACTTCTCCGGGAAAATTGCCAATCCTCGATGATATAGGGATTTAACTTGATGAATTGACTGATAACCTAAAGTACAGCCAACAAATTTTTGTAACGTGGTTTACTTGACATCAAGGAAGTTACGTGCAGAGGCTGGAAAAGATGAGTGGACCGTATCACTCCGAGCTTTCGAAACTTTCATCCTTGCCATAATGTTTGGAAGTGATGAGTATGTCAGAAAGTAAAATTCCATATGTCATCATTGTTGAAGTTATTATTGTATCTTGTCTTACCAACCCAGATATGATTGGAATTTTTTCAATCCTGCATGTTCCTGATCTGCCTCTTTAGTTTAGAAGCAAGTACTCCACGATTTGTCCCGAGGTCATTTTTTCTTGTCCTAGCCTCTTCTGATGTTCATTCGATATTCTGATTAGCTATTGGTTCTGTTCCTTACAGTTCTCCTCGTCAGCTAATGCCGATCCAAAACTCTAATGGTGTTCATTAACATTACTGTCATCCAGTTAAACTTCTTTACAGCTCTTTCAAAGTTTTTGTTGCATATCTATGACCTTTTTTCATAGGCCACATTCTCAGAAGCGTTCGATTAGTATTCGATAGCCTTGGTAATCTAATTTTATAAAGCACTAGGACTCGAGTACCGTCATTTCTATATCCCTATGACCAAATCACATTTCATTTACACTTCTGTTACAAACTAAGATGACGATGAACAAAGTCGTCCAAACAAAGTCCTAAATGGCATTCATAGGGTCGCTCTTCCAAGAGCCGCTAGAATCCACTCTGCACTAGTACCTGGCATATCATCCCAATCCACACATTTCGATCTTCAGCTAAACGGGTTATATACCTAAGATGGCAATAAGCAGTGTGTATCCTAAGAGGGGTTGTCTTGTCATCCATAATCCCCTCTCTATAGCTTCCTTGGCTCCTCCCGCATCTTCGTCGCACCATTACTCAAGAGAGAATGTCAGCGTGTCTTTCATCATAGCGACTCGCGCTGAACTGTACCTTACCAAGGCAGTCAGTTTCAGTTTGTCCTGAGATTTGAATGTCATCAATGGACCAACAGTTTTAGCATTGAAGTCTACTCCTTTAAAACTTTAAAGACCTTGCACTCGATGAAGTATCTGCTCGTCAGATTCGAAAATCACTTAAGCTCAAAATATCGTCTTACTGTCAACCATGATTTGTGGCTTTGGATAAAACCTAAACACTTTTTTATTTCTTTTTATGTCTCTCACAAGCAATGCCGAGCGGTCATGGGACAATCTATGTTCAAATACCGCAATTAGTGCAGATCGCCCATGAGCCAATTGATATCACAGAACTAGTTTCAGGCTGAATAGTAAATTCCATATGTGCGCCTCAGGAAAACGTCATTCACTATTAGAGATCATCCCTAAATTAGACTTTAAACATGGCAACTAATTATATGCTTTATCTGATAGGATGAAGTAACCCCTATATTGATCGTTTTTTCTTAGCGTACAGCTTCACGAACGCATATAAATATTTCCCCAATTTTTCTTCACGTTCTGATCATATCCAATCACTCTTTTACAAACATTCGCGAATCTATCACTCAGTTTACATAATATACATATATACAATCGCTTTCTACATCATCTCTTTCTACACAAACAATCAAATTCAACTCGACATCTACCAAATCATAACCATGAATCCCAACAACACCATGAATTCCAACAGTACCGATAACTTCTACGTTGGAATCACCTCCAAAAACAGCACTTGCGCCAAAGCTATCACCTTGAGATCATGTATTCCAACACATGATGCAAAATCCATAAGTGACGAGCAAAGACCCGCCTACATTGCAGGTGTCTCTATCGCCTTCTTTTTCATCATCATTTTTGCTATCGCCATACAAAATATTCGCGCTCGCATTGTCTCGAATAGGTCTATGGATGAACAGAGACGAGTTGAAGAAGGGAGAATGACCAAGGCTGTTCAGAAGGTCACTGGTAGTGAGATGGTAACTGGCAGTGAGAAGGCAACTGATAGTGTAAAGACAACTGGTAGTGAAACGACAAATGGTAGTGAGACGACAACTGGTAGTGAAAAGACAACCGGTAGTGAAAAGACAACCGGTAGTGAAAAGGCAGATCAAGTTTCAAAGAAACCTGTCAAGTCATGAGGACATGCAGTTTACCTAAGAGAATGAGGGGGTAGAAGAATAAGGGATGGTAAAAGTTTGGGCTGTGATTTTTCTCCAGTGCGGTTACGATGAACGATTAAGGAAATTTTGGATGATAATTAATGACGGTCTATTTTGTATAATGAAATGTTAAATAATTAAATACGGTTCTCATGAAAAATTCTCATGGATTTCTCTTGTATAATCTCTGCGTGAACACTCAGTTATTTCATCGACCCCTCGACGATTGCCCTTGTCACTACATTGATTTGATTCAAATATTGTTTCTTCTTTCTGAAGACGTTTTTCTGAATGGTTTCATTGTCTCCGAAAAGGTAAGGAAACACTGTTAATCGGGACAATAGCATTCATCGAGATTGGCTGGGACCGGAGCTCTTGTGATCGACGCCGTACTGGAATATTTTATCTGCTGGATAAGTGATTCTGTGACTGATAATTGAGCATTGAAAATTTCACAAACTTCAGAGGTTGTCAATGTTCGAATATCGAAGGACCTAAATGACGTGGATGTCTTATGTCGTCTTCGAAAAGGCTGTGCTAGTATTAAGCATCCGTCATGCCAACTATAGACAGATAAAGTCTTGAAAATTTTCCGATTCATCACGATATTCAACATTGTAATTGGTGATTATCAAGTCTTTTGGTGATTGAGCTAGATTGATAGCCAAAGTAAATCATTGACACTAGTACTAATGTGTTTGTTCTAGAAATTTCATCACAGACTTTGATCGGCCGCCCGAAAGTTTATTTTATGCCTTCTACCTATCAATTCTATCCTCATCATGAACAATCACTGCCCCCTTTAACAGACATATTTGATCTAAAAATAGTAGTACCTTTAAAATACCTGCAGTAGCACAAGCCGGAATGTCATATCAAACGAAAACTGGAATTCCGAGTTCTTGGCTATCTTGTCCTAGAAGTTAAAACCTTCTTCCGTCCAAGCATTCTCTTAAAGTGTAAAAGTATACGTTGTCCTTCTGTAATTTCATCTTTCGCTCACCTGCATCTTGGAAGAGAAGAAAGAAAACATTGAAGCTAAAGTAGTGAAAGCATTACACCAGATTACTATCTAATCTCAAAGAATTGCACAACCGCCCACACGCATTTATCTGATAATCTATCTACCGTTGGAACTTTAAGTTTTCAATCAAAGTTTATTGTCGAAAAAGTATTCCACACAGAACAAAGTGAAAGTTTGTGACGTAAGTCTCAACAAACAATATAATTCATGGTTTGGAATGACCTCTTCATTACAGAAGGGAGAGTGTAGTTGAGATGGATCCTGAATGAGAAAAATATAAATCTTTATTCCTACAAAGATTAACTACATAGATAAAGTATCTAGATTATCCGCAATCGAGTACGATCATGAAATCACATCTTGCAGAACTTCTCCGCGCCTTCGTTTAAGCGAGATGTCAAATCTGTCCCCCTCATTTTAGCGCACAACTAGCATGAAAACTAAGATATTAGACTCATAAATCTGTCTCCCCCACACAGGAAGAGAGTTAAATCTCTTAGCTCGTAGACTAGATATCAGTAGTTAATATTTAGCACCAACTCAAAACTCAAAGGCAGAAGAAAACTGAAATTTACTATAATGACCTAGACTACCATTGAGCCAGGTCATACCCCTAAGGGCACAAAGACTGGTCTTATTGTAAAATATATGCCTATTCAGGCTAGCTCCTTCCACTATAGAGCTCATCAAGTACTGCAAAGACTTTTCAGTACTAAGATACTGAATTCTCCGGACTAGATTCAACGGTTTGTCTTTAGCAGGTAGATCTGTTCTTGGAACTTGGCTGGCTTGCATGGAAATTTTCTATATAAAGGTTGTCCCGCCCGCATTTGAGAAAACTTGCTCTCCTCCTCCTTATACCAACATTCAGATATATGTTCGCGCATACCTTTACGCATACCCTCACATATACCTTTACACACAAACCAGAAATAACCATGACGAATCCAGCGAACATGACTTCTCCCCAAGTCCATCAATGCATATCTTCACTCCGAACATCTTCCTACCACCTATCATTACTATCACGAGCACTCACCATCTTCACAATATATCTCTTTATCTTGATGATGATTACAAGAATACCCTTACTCTACCCTACTTCCAACTACAAAACCGTCACATCTCAGATCCTTCCTTGGAAGAACACAGCAAAAATTATCGTAGCGCTCATGGTTTCAATCAGTCTAGATCCAGACTTCCTCATCTACTATGTTTTCTATCAAATTGGGCGCAAATTACTTGCGATTTCACTTCTGGAGACGGGAGGAAAGCTGAAGCTCCTCGCAGTTATGATCACTGTCAAACCTTGCTGGCTTTTAATTGGCGCTGCTTACGAAATCGGTGAAGTGTGTGTAGATATCACATTGGAGCATTTCCAGAAGCCATTTGGGGTGGAGAAAAAGAACGCTGCTGAGAATGAGAAAAGGGAAGAAAACCCTCACTCTGCAAACTACCCTGAGCCAATCTCCGCAATCATCAGTTACATGTCTTCACTACTAGACGGAATTCAATACAATATTGTCACAGGGTCAGAAGAAACACACCCATACAAGAAAATGATATGGAAACTAAAGGAAATACAAAAATCCGAGACCGATGCAGACAATAAGAAGGAAATGAAAATTTCTTCCGATCTCAGACATTCAGAGAATCAACCTCCCTTGTCCCAAACAAGGAAGCATCTTTGGCTCAACTTTGTAGACTTCGACACCGAGGAAGAAACCCAAGACAGTCTCGATAAACATTCTATCGCCGACGAAACAATATCCCCGACTTTTTCTCTTTCTCCACTTCAATCTACTAAACCCCGGTCAACAATCATCGTTAGCCTTCCAAGTCCTTTGAGATCAAGACTCCGTGAAATGATCGACTCAGTTACCCGAGATCTAAATTCAGTAGAGAGACATAACGCAGTGCGAATCATCATAGAAACCGAACAAAATATCGAAAAATTGTACTCAATATCAGAATCTAATATGCCACGAATGATTGAGCAATTAGAGGGATTGGAAAGAAAATTGGAAGATATTTTCGAAAATGTAGAAATGGCCGCAGTTGAGAATGAGGTTAGTAACAAAGATGAAAATGAAGGTGAAGATGAAGAGGAGGAAATGGAACCGGGTCTCTTGACCCCCTCAACTTCTTCAGGTGAATGGACATCTGTTGAATCACCATCAACTCCTTCGGCTCACTCTGAACCTACATTTGAGGATGATGCTGAGGATAAAAAGGAGGATATGCCATCTGATTCGTTGACACCTTCAACTTATTCAACGCCTTCGATTCCCTCATCTCCTTCATCCCAATCCCGATCCTCACCCAGTCCAACAACCACCATCACCGGCCGCCCCTGGCATCTCTTCCTCGTCGATACCCTGTACAAATGCGACAATTCCCTACATTTTGAGTGGAGCACAGCCGAGCTCTTCAACGCATGGTTTAGCAAGAATTTCTGGTTTGCCGTTACAGAGGGAGAAATTGAGCTATTAGAGAAATGGAAATCGTGGGCTTTGGATGACAGACCTGTTGATCAGAAGTGGAATTGGTAGATAGTGCGGATTGGGAATGTGCACCATGATTGACGATCTGATGAATAACCCAGAGTCATGTTTAATGGGTTGGGGTAATTTGTAATTAGACATAGATTGATATACAAGAAGTAGTGGGAAGTTTGATCTAGGATATACATTAACAATAATTAAATTGAAGGCCTTCTCATGATCATATACTCGCTTATTTCAATTGTGAATACACAAAAAAAGATGTCAAAATCGAAAGACCTCAGCATGTGAATTCAATTAAGTATCCGGAGATCGGAATAATGAAGATCCATGATTTAAATGGTATTGACTTGATTGAAATCTGCACGTCATGTAGCCTCAGCCTTTCTATTCCTATACTGTTCACTTTACCCCTCAAAAAATCAACCCACAACATTCCCGCCAGCACCCTCACACCACCCTTTGATATTCTCCGTCACAACCCTCCTCAATTTCTCCACACTACTTATTCCATACCAAGCAACATGAGGACTCAAAATTAATCTTCCACTATCCCGCAATTCGCTATCTCTCGCTGCTTTCACCAACGTATTATTTTCTCCGGCTGGTTCTTCTACATAAACATCCGTTGCGGCTCCAGCAATTTTGCCTTGCTTCAATGCATCTACTAAATCCTCCTCATTGACTATTCCTCCTCGTGCGATATTGATGATGAGAGTGTCTGGTCTCATTATTGATAATTCCGCCGCGGCAATCATGTTTTCCGTGGTGGGTGTCAAGGGGAGAGAAAGGAAGAGGACGGTACTGATTTTCATGACGGTGGTGAATGAGGCATAATCTGGACGGGTTTCAGTTTCAGGGACGCCTTTTCGCTCGCTGAACTGGACCGTCATTCCTAGGGCTCGACAAAGGTCTGCTACTCGGTTTCCTATGCTTTGTTAGTTTTGTGGTTCGTGTGCTTGGTGTTGTGGGATTGTGGGTAAAGTCTTCAGTGGCCCAGTCCGACAGGGAAAGAACCAGAAGCTTTCAATGCCGGAAGCTCATTTGGACACTCGGTCCTCATCAGAGTATCCAATAGTCTGGACTGCAGTTCAACATGAAGATTATCTGAATCTCCAAAACAATTGAATCATTCAAATTATTCAAGACATTGAATTTGATTGGAATGTTGAATCATCTTCAGATTTCTGACTGCTTTTAGATATGCAAAACTTCATATCATTGGACTGCAGCCAAGACTATTGGATACTGTGTTCCTCATACGGAATACATCATTCAGACTACTGACTACCTTGGTTTGAAAAGGAGATGAGAGCTCAGTAGAGTGCCATATCGCATGATCTGGCCAACTTTGACAACATCACCTAGGAAATACCTCCTACTGATAGATGATTGTAAGATAAGCATGAAGCGAACTACGTTTCAATCACTCCTTCGATTTCAGCCTTCAAAAATAACACCAAGAAAAATCAAACTGCAATCGTACCTAACTCCCCACCCCCTACAATTCCCACCACTTCCCCCTTAAACCCTGTCATCAATCCCCCATAGAAATGCTCACTCAAACTCCCCTTCTCCTTCCATTCCTTTCCCTCTCTGGTCCTCTCATGCATCCCTACTACATTTCTTCTAAGCGCCATATACAACGTTAATCCATGTTCTGACACCGCTTCATTACTTGCTGCTGGAACATTTGATACTGAAATCCCATGTTCTTTACAGTAAGCAATATCGACATGATCTGTTCCGATGGCGAGAATAGCTATGTGCTTCAAATTTGGTAGTTGGGATAGAATGGTAGAGGTGAGGAAGAAACGAGTGGAGATTAAGACATGGGCGGGTTTGAGATATGTCATTAGTTCGTCACCTTTTGGAGGAGGATTGGGTAGCTCGGTGACGGTATAAGGGATTGGGAGAGGTGAGAAATCTGGTGAGGGTGTATGGATTGGATCGAGACGGAGGATACGGAGGGTTTCGGGGAGATTTGGACGAAGGGTTTGTGGAGTTGAGTCGACCATACTTGCTTGATAAATTGAGACGGGATTGATCGATTAATTGAAGAAGTCTGTTTTGTCCGAGTTGTAGTCTTGCACGCAGTTTGAAAAGCAATAAAGAATCAAAATGGAAACTATATGACGAGGAACAAGATAAGAAAGAACGTCTAGTAAGCATATGTCTATCTAAAGGCGTGAAGTTCTAGTGGAACCTTTCCCCACATTTGAGGTTCGGATGATTGTCCGTGATAGAAGGCTTAGCTTATCATATTGGACGACCACCAGGTGAACATTACAAGTAAGTAATGTTTTGCTTATCTTCCGACAAAGATCATGTGGACATCTGATCTTGGATTGGAAATTGGAAAGAAATGATTGAGATGTTGTCGACGCGGTACAATCAATATCAACCGAACTACAGCCGATGAAGGTAAGAGTCAGAATAACCCTCGATGAATGAGGCATCTACTTGTTATTCCTCCCGCAAGAGAGATACTGACATCCCTTCACAATGAAAGTGATCGTGGATAATAGTATGCAATTAAAATCCTGTGATAAAGTGCAGATTTGATCATCAATATGATCTACTCCTATCCTATCCTACTAATTCAATGGACGACTGCCGTAGAAAAATACCAATGCAATACAATCTATGCCGCATAGGTTTCTCCAGGACCAAGCTGACTGTCACTGAACAATACACCACGATATCTCGACCACCTCCGCTTCATTACTAATCCCCTCCGGTTGTTTCTTGAATTCAAACTCCGTTCTTCCATATGGGAATGAAACCTGTGGCATCCAGACAAGAAGTTGATTTACATGCCAGAGTTCTTTGCAGCTAAGTAGTTCCACAAGTGTTAGTATACCAGGAAGTTGATCTTAGAAAATGGAAAATGGAGGATAGAAGAAAAGGACGGTCATATCTTCCGAAAAAGAAGAGAAGAATTTTTGTAGCGTACCTTGATTAACACTGGAAGAGTCGAAGCTAACGACGTTTCCCTGAGCATCGGTCATTGAGGCAGTCGATGCATCTACTGCGCGTGCTGCGAGTTGAATAGCTGTGTTCATATCAGCACTGGGGAACAATATATGGCTCCATTGAAAAGGAGAGCGGAAAGAGGAATGTGGATGACAAAGGTAGGTCGGCGTGTGGAAAATCAGGATAACATACGTGTGGCAATCGCAATTGCGACGAAAGAAAGAATAGTGACGAGTGTGAACTGCATGGTTGCTGGTGGGTATATTTATTTAGATGTTGAGCGATGAAAAATGCAGAAGACTGTTTAATGATAGTGATGATTTAATGAAGTCGACCGGCAACAAGTAATTGCGTATAAACAAGAAATCAATCAATGATTGATGGATGAATAGATGGATGAAGAACGAGATGAAAATAGTGATAAAATGAATCCCCTATACTTCGAGGTCATCGTCTTTATATCTTCTCTTCATCCAAATATCAACATCCCACGAACTCAAGACGGGGATCTAGACTCAAACCTGCGCCTCTCGCTTCCCAAAGCCATCGTCATAAACTTCATCCAATATTAAGAGACGATTTCAAAGGAGCACCTATCAACATCCCAATCCCATGTCTACTGGAATCCATAGCTTTGCTTTATTTGCAGATATCATGATTCGAGCAGAAACCGGGGCTCACTGCATTACAAATTGAATGATATTCACATGGTCATGATACATCGAACGTATGGGCAAGGCTTATATTGTATAGAATATTATTTAAGCTCGTGGATATATCTCAGATTTCCTGGGGGAAGTTGGGGATAATGATAAAGAAAAACAGGATTGATGTGTTGTAAGGTTTAAAAGAAAAAGGGTGATGAAACGTGGATGAAGTGAAGCGAGATGCAAACAAGGCTGTCGTCCTAACATTACCCATGAAGCTCCAAAACGATCCAATGAACCGATATAATAGGGATCTTTCATGCACAGAGGATTTTGGAAGGACGGGATTCTTGAGATCCGAACGGATGAACTTTTGGAGGCTGTAGATGTTGTGGAGGAATAAGGCTTTCTGTTGTTGTTTATAGATTTAAGGGGTAAAGGTCTCGTTTGAGGCTGGGTGGTTTGGGAAATGATTGACAGCAAGCTTCTAAGACAGATACCCGATATTGATGTGTAAGTAAAGTGATTATTGCTTTTGATCTGTAAATAGCCTTTGAGTATTTGACTTGCGATTCGTATTGTACTTGGCAATAAAAGCGTGGCTTTGAATAGGTGACTACTGGCTAGGTACCTGAGTGTCTCAAGATATTCGTCCTTTGTACTTTGTACTTTGCGATGATGACATACAAGGAAAAACGTCTTTCAAGCTTCAAACAGGAGCTCTTTTAATTTTAATGATGATGAAAAAGAGGGCTTCTTGTCAGCTGCACTTTCAATACCAAAGAGGTTAAAACATCAACTTCATCATCATCGCCATGATATCCACGTTGTCGGTTAATTCGAACGACTCCAGCCTCACCCTTTACAATGGAAATAAAATATAAACATCATTGATATGAAGCAATAAAAAGAAAGCATATATTCAATTGCTCATCTCATGCTTTATGGCATTCTTACCGACCGACCAACCGACTAACGGAACGTAATAAACCGAGCAAGCCGGAGATCTCGGCCTGGAATGATCCATCTTCTTGAAGTCCGAATCCGGAATAGATAATGCACAATTCACAAGTTATCCACTCGACTCTCGATTTATGCAAATCATGGGTACCTGAAACATTCATCATCGATTTCCACAAATCAAGACTAAAGCTTATCGATAACCCCCGCTATGAAGTCCCACAACACCCGAGCTCCCTCCACCGGTACTGACATTCACTCACAACAACCTTCCTATCAGACTTCACTTCTACTCAAATCCCTTATCTCAACAACATCAATAACCTCATTTCGCCAACTTACTCTCATCACAAAGTTTGTCAAGTACAATAGAGTTAACTTATTCCATGAATCCAAATCCAAATCCAAATTCAAATACGATTACAAATATTCATACAAACACTCGTATCCATATTCGTATCCCCTTCCCTTACCGTTAGGTCGACGACAACTACAACTCCATTCAAATCTAACCCTCGACACAACCACAAATTCATCAACCAATCCATCTTCGCCAGTAAGACCAACAATTATGGCAACTCCAGATCATTGTCTCTATTGTTTCGAGGTTTTGACTGCTCATCTCGAAAAACGACAACCATTAGGTTTGGAAAAGGTGCAAGAATTATGGACGTCCTATCCCAAAGGTCTCGAATTACAAAACACCGAAGAAGAGGAAGAAGAAGATGTTGATCTTCAAATAACTGGTTCCCATCCACCAAAAACAAATCCAAGACCAGATCCAAATTCAACCACAAATTCAGCACGTCATCCTATTCTCCAGCGAATTACACGATCTGCTTCCGGAACCAGTACACCATCTTCTAGTTCCTCCGAACGAACATCAACCTCGAATTCCACATCTGCAACTACTCCCTCCAGTTCAACCACCTCATTCACCCCTATCGGTATCTCCCCCACTCCCCGTCAAACAACCCAACTCTCCCCTCCCCGCAACCTCCGCGAATGGTCCACCCCTCTCTTCGTAACCTGGAATACTCTTTCCTCTTCCTCACAACCCCATCAACAATCGCCCTCTCTACGCGGCTGCATCGGTACTTTCTCCTCCGAACCCCTCCTCACATCTCTACCCGAATACGCAATAATTTCCGCCCTGCACGATTCCCGCTTTGATCCCATTACACTGCGGGAACTCCCAACTCTCGAGGTTGCCGTTACTTTACTTACGGATTTCGAAGAGTGTGTTCATCCGCTGGATTGGGAAATCGGAGTTCATGGGATTAGGATCAGTTTTTATCATAAAAACAAGAGGTTTGGAGCGTGCTATTTACCTGATGTGGCGGTGGAACAGGAGTGGGGAAAGGAAGAGACGGTTGTGAGTGCGATGAGGAAGGCGGGCTGGGGAGGAAGAAGAGAGAAGTGGAGGGAAGTGAGCCAGCTGAGTGTTGTGAGGTATCAGGGAAGAAAGGAGAGTGTTAGCTGGAAGGAATATAATGAGTGGAGGACTTGGGTAGAGAAGCTGGACAATAAGGTTGAGGCGAGGAATTAGAGGTGACGAATATTACACCTTCTAAATACTGGACATAGGAACAGGATGGGAAGGAATCTCACTATCATCGATCTTAGCGGGTGGTAAAAGTGTGCGGGAACATGGAATAGGGAGTGCATAAGATACAACATACAATGATTTATGACAACAGATAGAGATTTAACCGGAGGCTCATTTAATTCAATCTATCCCTTCTGCTTGATTTCCACCCTTCTCCATACCATTCAACTACTTCCCTCATCCGCCGGCCTATTCATACGAGGGAAAACAGACCGGAATTGAGCACTGGCGAATCCCTTCAACAATCCAATTGTCCCATTTCAATTCAAAGAATTTGGACTTTAATTGAAGGGTATCCAAGGGTGTATAGGATTTCCTCTAGCGCTCCATATATACATACTACGTTTTCTCTCCACCTGAATCTCTGATATATTCAAATCTCGGAAACATCAATAGAATTACCTCAACCTCAATCTATCTCACGTATGTGGTTCAACGCGTTCTTGTGTGGTGCACCCAAATTCAAACACAGTCAGTCACATTTCGAGCAGCGTGCTGGACACCGTTCTTTGATAAGACTAGAGACATCGGAGACATCGTGAGTAAGTTGGCCAGTTCTTACCTCGTAGCTCGCATTTCCACGCGCATCTTGTGTTTCGTAAATAGTTAGTCAGGTACATATATATTTCATTTCAAGACCCTTCAATGCATCCAAGTATTCGATACTAGTTTATTAATCGCTAGAGAAAAATATAAAAAGCTCCTCAGCTCCTCGCTATATGCTTTCCTATCCTATGGTATGTGCTATATGCTATTCCTTCTTTTCCCTTTGTTCCTTTTCTTCTTTTGCAATAGATAGCAGACAGTACTGCAGCAATGTATTTTTGTTCCATTTCAATCCGTTCAGCCCATCCAACCCCTTGACATTGATTGGCATTTTACTTGCCTAAATTGACAAACTCAACCATTTCGTATCCATCCCGTCCAAGCGTATCCTTCCTTCCACGCTAACGGTATCTGTATGAACGTTGATCATACAGTGAATAGTTTCAATTCATTAGCTACTGTATTACAAGCCCTAAGCGAAAGCGAAAGAGACTAGCTCTTTCAGTAGGTCTATATAAGACCTACTACTTCCTGTACATAGCTAGCTCTTTAGACAGAATACAACATAGACATTTAGGACCTACATTCGTAGGTACTACGTCTTCTGTATCCTTCTCAAACCAACAGTATCCCTATCCCTATCCCTATCCCTATCCCTATCCTTTTCCTGTCCCTCCAAAATAAAAAATACAAATGGATATCCAGTAAATCAACTAAGCAAAATCACTACTCATAAGTTGTGATGTCATTAATATATGTCGTAAGTTCTCGTCTTGTGTCGTCCATCTCGTCTCATTCCTTCTTTTCCAGCCACTCGCTCTCATTCAGTATTATCTCCAACCACCTCATCCCATCCATTCCTTCGATTTATCTCCAACAGACGAACTTCCTTCCTATCTCCCTGAATCTCCCCTTGCTAATTCCTCTCCCATTTCTATTCCCTCTCTTTTCAAACTCTTCATTTGGGGTCCCTGGCGGTAAAGGCGTCAATGGTTTCGTCATCGCCCTCCTAGTCCCCAATTTCTCCCTTTCCCCATTCATTTCATCCCCTTCCACCCCATCCATACGCACACCCGATATCTCATCCCCAAATTCCCCTCTATCCATCATTTCCCTATCCATGAGCGCCCTCTTTCTTCCCTCCACAACCCGTCTAACAATCAACGCGAAAGTTTCCTCGATATTAACAATACTCCTCGCGCTTGTTTCCATAAACCCACAATTTCTTGCTCTAGCCCACTCTAAACCCTGCGAAGCCGTCACCTCGCGCGATTCTTGAAGATCGCATTTATTTCCCGCAATAATTTTAATCGGAGGCGTATATCCATAATCGAATCCTCCCCCTTGTGTTGACTTTGCATTTGAGCTCTGAATTTTCTTTGTTTTTGAACGAGATTTCGAAGGAGAAGATTCGGCCTGCGCTCTTCTCCATTCTTCGCCCCGAACTTCTCCCTCCATAGTAACTAATTCGTCGAACCAATCCAG